GGTGAAGTTCCAAAACACTGGAGGTGCCCACTGCACTAGGTACTTGCCCATACTATCCCACACACCCTGCCGCTCATAACTATCCAGCCTTGGGGCAGATCTCTGGATGATATTCTTAAACTGCTTACTGACCTTCATCAAAACCGAAACAGTATTCCCAAGAAATAGCAATAGATGTATCTTAACTACCCAAGGATGTTCAAGATACTGAAAAGTTATTGTAATGAAGGAGGAAACATCATAGAAGAAGGTAGCGAAGGTACTGTTCTATATTTCCTCCACAAAAAACCTCTCAGAGGAAGAGGTATAATTGCTAATCCTCTCCATAAGGTGATACCAGTGACCATGACGGGTCGCCAACTGGGTTTAACTCCTTTCACCACAACTCTCTGGGCTCAGCCATCCAGCCGTTCACGTGCCAGCCATTCACATGCCACCTTCCTTAGTATAGTTGTACTTTGTTCAGCATACAGTAGAGATTAGTTTCTCCTGACACAGCAGCTTATAAAAAGTGTTAATGCGATCTTCATTCTGTCCTGTGTGGTTCTTGATCTTTGGTTTTTGCTTTGATCACTTTTTTCCTACTTGCTTCTTAATAAATTCTTGCACTGTTACTGCTCGTGCAATTCTTTAATTCCTCTTTTCACTGAGACCTGGAGATCAGACTTTCACTGCAGCCTGCAAAACTGGGAAGCAGTGGACTGCTGGGCAGAGGTCGTATCAGCAGCTGGAAATAGGGGGGAAGAGAGGAAGAAATGTTTGTTTCTACCACAGGCTCCCCTCTTCATCCCTGCTTTCCCATTGGCAGGCATATGGATATATAGATATAATGGACAGTCAGCAGGCAATGAGAAAACTCTCTCATGACTTGCCTCTCTTGGCTCTGGCTTTTCAGCTCCTGTTGCTGAGGTAACCTCACTCCCAAACCTCTTCCCCAGGCCCTTGGTAGGGCTGCACAGAGCACCGCCGGCAAGCAGCGTCCTGGGAAATGCACCAGCAGGAAGTCGGCATTAGCTAGCAACAAAGCACGGCTGACCACAGGCAAGGTCAAAAAGGGCCTGACGGATAGCAGGAACTGCCATGGCTGTACAGCCCTTTACCAGGCTGAAATGATCTGGTGAATGCTGACTGTAGTAAAGTATTGATGGCACTGCTCAGTTAGGAGCACAAAGGTTAGAAATCATTCCTGGTGGTGGCTCAGAGGGGCTGCAAACTTTCACAGCACCAGCCGTCAGGCACCACCAGCATTAAAGCCTGCTGGAGCCTCTGTGTATGCATCACTAGAAGGTGATAACTGGGTTGGGGACTTTGCATGGAACTACTGTAACTTATTAAAGTGCTGCCATCTTCCTAAGCTCAGACTGGTTTGCAACAGAGCAACGGGAGTAAAGAACTGCTGATTTCCAACAGGCAAGGGAGACTGCTGCCTTGATGGAGAGTGGGACCATAATCCAGGTGTCAACTCCAATGTTCCACAGCCGTTGACTTCCTTGTCCTAAAATTCTCCCTCTGCTTATAATCCTGTGCAAAGTTCTGCTGGTGACTCACACCAGGAAAAAAACCACTCCTGCGTGTCCTAGGCTTGTTCGATGCTGACCATGTGCACTCTGACTAGTATAACCATATAAACTTCCTCCTCCATGAGCTCCCTCTCACTCCTCTTTTCATTTCTCAGTATTTTCAATGT